GACTAAAAGGACCAGGAAACACAATTTCGGGTTTTTACGGACTTTGAAGAGTAGAATACCAAATGTGAAAGCTCAGGAGACGAAGTAGACCCTGAACATGAATCAGCAAGGCTGGTCAGACATTTTAAAAATACTATGTGGCAAGCAAAAGCTGAAACAAAAGCCACGTCCGCTACAAAATACAGGGTCAATTTGGAAGAAAATTCAAACAAATTGAATTCGTACTCCAACTGAGTATCTCAATTGATTATTTTGATGACACATTTTACAAAGAGATTGCTAGGTTTACAAACTTGCACTACATGCGTTAAATCGATAAAGAATTAAAAACTATTAGAACCGAAATTGCTATAGTGTTCAGTGCACATATTTTCATGAGATGCCTTCCGGACCCATGTTTGCATATGTACTGACACACTAGTATAAAAAATAGGGGCTTATTGCTAACAAAATAGTTCATAACCGATTTGTACCCACACGACATTCCCTTTATGTATTTTACCATGACCAACTAGCAGAAACAGAACAAGACAACCGCTTTGGAAGGTGCAACCCATGATAAATAAAGGATCAATATACCTGCAAAGAGGTCCATCTTATTATTCAATCGTTGAACGATATTAGTGGTGTAGATATTCTGGACTAACAAATGGAATGCCACCAAACCTTTATTACAAGATAATAGGGTTTGAAAGTTCTAGTTTAAATTTTGGACCTGGCAGTTGTTAATTCGCGGCGGCTTTAGAAAATTGATTGCACAGCTAATGGTTATTCAAAAAAAGACATTTTAGCATTACTCTATTTTCGTTTTAGCATAGCTGAGGCTTTAAACAGATATCCTAATAAAGAGCATCGTGTTGAAAATTTACTAAACGACTCGACATCCATAAACAATATAATATAGACTTTTAAGGTCAGAAGGCAAATGATAACACAGATGAGAACGATTACCTGGCTAAAAAGCACCGAGGTGTTACATGTTGGAAGGATGTTCTAGCTGGTCAAAAATTAAATGTGCTAAGTGAGATGTCTACCTGTGCCTTTCTCACAAAAAAGCTGTTTCCAGTCATATCATCTTAAGCCATAAAAATGACATTTATTTCTTTATTATTAGTTATAAAGTAATTTTGTTCTATTTTACAATCTCTTAATAATCATCTCGGACCTCATATTGGTGCCAACCAAACTAATAAAGGTTTTTACTTTGCAAATTTGTCAAAAGGTGGATATTTTTCAATTAATTCGTTTTTTGTAAGACAGTTTGCTAAAAGAGGTTTAATTGCTTGTTAAATTATAGCTTACTCTTTACTTATAGGGATCTCTTACCAAATGAATACTTATGTGCTCATAAATTAATAGTTTTCATTAAATAAATTAACTAAATAGTATAACACTCACTATCGTGAGACTAACAAATTATACCGAAGCCTCACTATCGTGAGGGCATACTTTCAGGAAAACTGAAATTTCAATTTTTTTTTAAGTATTTTTCTAATCTTATTTAAACTCTAAAATAACCCCTTAGTAAAGTTTTATTAAAATATTGACACTTTTTTATTCTCGTGTGTAAAGGGTTATTTACATAGGCTGGGTTGCACCATCTTACTTTGACTTACTAAACGTCAAAAATCTGTCATACTCCATTCAAAAAACTCCGATAGTTACGGTCAAAGTTAGGTGGTGCAACTCAGCCTAAATATCGAAGTATTTCGAAAAAACCTTGCCAGACAAAATACTTCTTCTACTTGTATTACCTACATGATTATGTTGTGGAGGAGAAAATCATTTTTCTTTTTACCAGCTTTATTTTAAACAAACTTTTAGGACTTACACAATAAGACTGACTCTTGCATCACTAGCCGTTGCTAGGTCTAGGGCTGACAGCACTGTCTAGTATGCATTGCATGCAATTATTATGTACCACTACCATTATTATGTACCACCTGATTTATACATTTACCTATGTTTTACAAATAAATGATTTGATTTGATTTGATTTGATTTGAATTTATCAGCAACTAGACCGAGCTTGCTTTTAATTAGCATGGTGTATACCACAAACTGTGTATGTAAAGTTCTTCTAACACAAGAAAAAAAATTGTGCTTAGATGGTTTCAATCTAGCTTTTTCATCATCATCATTTCAGCCATAGGAAGTCCACTGCTGGACATAGGCCTCCCCCAATGCTTTCCATGTTGCCCGGTTGGTAGCGGCCTGCGTCCAGCGCCTTCCTGCTACCTTTATGATGTCGTCGGTCCACCTTGTGGGTGGACGAACTTTGCTGCTCCATCGGCCGTCATTTCTGCGTACTATGTGCCCTGCCCATTGCTATAGCTCTAATCTAACTTTTACTTTAAAATGAATAGAGCATGCAAAATAAGTATAGTCCAAATATAGCTTGCCCTTTGATAATTTAGAATATTTGAAAGTAATTGGAAAAATTTCTTGTAATCCATACAGGAAATTAACAAGAAACATAATTATATATAATAATAATAGTCAGTGAAAGCAATATTTGAAAGGTCCTGCAATTTTAATTCAACCATATTTACCTTTTTATATGGATTGTCATAAACATAACTTAACTTCAACTTAAGAAAAGGCAGTTCAATAGCAGTCGGTGCCTTTAATTAAAATCCGTATACTTACTTACCTACTTGCCAATGCCAAATAATGAACTTCACGAAACCTGAAATTAGGAACTGTAACTTTATTCTTATTTCAATTTAAGGAAAGTACTACGAGTACAGTAACGTAACCTTTACCTACCTACACGAATTCCTTTTTAGTCTAAGCAGAATATAAATACAGAAAATCTTTAGAAATCATCTACACATAACTATGTTGTTCAACACTGATATCTTTTAACGGGTAGCTACGATATTTTCCAGAAAGAAGGTACCTAACCAATTTTATTTCTCATCCGATGCCAATAGCAGACTCTCAAGACATCAAAAGGGATGTATTGTTGCACAAGTCCTTTGTCTTTATAAACGTTCGCTTACAAAATAAGTAGAATGACATAAAAGCAGCCTTTTGTATGTACGGTAAATAAATTGTCTTAGATGGATGACAAAACCTGTTATTCAACAGCAACAGTAAATAGGAAAGCATCTGTATACTAACGCCCGTATTCACTAACGATGCTTCTTAATAAGTGAAGCAGCAAATCGGACGCACAGCGTTGTATAGAGTTCTTTGAGTGGTTCGTGTTTGACCCTGTGCGTCCATGCGCACTGTATCTAGATACTAGAGATACAAGCTGTCCCATAAATTTAAGTACTGAAAATGTTTGCTATGGTTGTATGTTCAGTCAAACACGACATTTTATTCTTAAAGGAGCGGTCCAGCTATATCATCAGATGTACCTACATTATAATATACCTACAAATAAATAATTTAATTGCAGTTTTCTTTGTTTTCTTTGATTAATCTATGTACTGTATTAGATAGAGTACTTTCCCTTCAGGTGGCTTTACAAAATTCCACCCTGTATAGTTATTAATTTGTATAGTTTAGACAGTGCAGTAGATTTTAATCCCAGAACACAAAATATTACCAGCCAGATGCTTATTAATGATTTGGTTCCAACGAGACACAATTTCAACGGGACACATTTTCAATCAGACACATTTCCACGTGGACACATCAATTATTGTATCATCAGTTAAATGTTTTAATGAAAAAAATAAAATGTTTTAATTGTCATGGATATATTCGTCTGCCGTTTGGTGTAGTGGTTCAGAACGGACTACTATGCCGAGAGGTCCCGGGTTCGATTCTCGGCCGGGCAGAAATTGAAATGATGCATTTTAATTTCTGTGACCGGTCTGGGCGTTATACTATACTTATAATAAATCTGTAGAGAGGTCAATTCTGTACATGAAATATATTTTCAAAATAACTATCAAGGGGTGATTAGAGATCGATACTGATGCCAAAAATGCAATCAGTAAAATTTTTGTCTGTCTGTCTGTCTGTATATTCCTTATAGAAACAAAAACTACTCGACGGATTTTAACGAAACTTGGTACAATTATTTTTCATACTCCTGGGCAGGTTAAAGTATACTTAGGAGTATCCCACGGGAACGGGAATTAGCGGGAAAATCCTTTTGTATGAAAAATCTAAACCGCTTAAGTAAGACTGCTAAGACGCTTAAAATTTGGCATGCAGGTACCTTAGTAAACTTAAAGCTTAGACAACAGGATATTGCAAAATTAGAGTTAGCGGGAAAAAACATTTGTATGAAAAAATCTAAACCGCGTAAGATAGATATAGGGGATAATAAAACGGGATCCACGCGTACGAAGTCGCGGGCGGACGCTAGTCTTTCCATATCTATGTGCGGAAACGCCACGAAATCTGAATTTTAGTTGACCTAACCCCTCATAAAAGCCAGGTCTATGTTATGTTTAGGTTATTTTATTGATTTAAGGAAAGTACGCGAAGATGCTTATTTCTGTTTAATTTTGTTTTTAATTGTAATAAAATATAGTTATTTTAATGTTCATATTTTTCATTTCACTTTCATTTATTCGACTGACTGTATTGTGTCAGTTTGCAACTGTGTCCACGTGGGAATGTGTCTGATTGAAAATGTTTCCCGTTGAAATTGTGTCCCGTTGGAACTAAATCTTATTAATTAATATGTGTCATCAGCCACGGTTATGGAGACAATGTAATGTTTTTTCCGGTGAAATGAAAATATACACAAATAACGACTCACTAATGTATAAAACAATAAACATACAAAAATCCCGAGTCGTATATACATATCCAGATCTACATGCCACAATACTATGCTATTAAATTATTACCCATAGTCCAAATACGCCGAAATACCTACTTGTCAGAATTTTTAATCTTATCCAAAATTTACTATCTACTCAGCAGGTGCCACTGCCAAAGAATTTCTTACAACTCATACTGCTATCTTAATCTGTTGTATTATGCATTATCATATTGTATAAAAAGAAATAATTGCAGTCAATTCGTTATTGTAATCGTTTAAGATGTGGAGGGTGGTAGTGTTGGTTTGTGCGTTGGTGGCCGCCGGCGCCGGTCAGGAAACTGAGGAAACCGAGTCGAAGGTGGTGACCATCACCCAAGGACAAATCAGGGGGTACAAAGCGGCCAACTATGATGTGTTCGAATTCTTAAATGTCCCGTACGCTCTTGCACCCACTGGTACAGACAAGTTTAAGGTGAGAGAGTAAAATGTATCCTATCGAAAATAGAATCTGACAGTTATAAAACTTAAGTTCACATTTAAATCTTTGCAAATTTTCACATTCAATTAGCGTATTACATAATGTGCTGATAATAATATGAATCAGAATAATTCAATTTGTAATATTTTATCTGTTTTAGGCTCCCTACACAGTAAATTCAGTATTCATGGGAGTTTTTCCCGCAGTTGATCGGGGGATCCTATGCCCTCAGAGCATCTCCGCGCTTTTTCCTGATGACTCACCTTTAAACTTCAAAGAAGACTGTCTAGTCGCGAATATACACGTGCCGAATACAAACGAAACTAACCTCCCAGTTCTGGTGATAGTTCACGGTGGAGCCTATTTATTAGGAGCAGGCATATTCCAAAAAGCTAATGGTCTGGCTAGTGACGCTAATATTATCGTTGTCACCTTCAATTACCGCCTCGGACCCCATGGTTTCCTATGCCTTGGCACAGATGATGCCCCTGGGAATGCTGGTATGAAAGACCAGGTAGCATTGTTGCGCTGGGTACAAACCAACATTGCTGGGTTCGGAGGCAACCCTAATGATGTGACGATAAGTGGCTGTAGCGCGGGAGGGTCATCAGTAGACTTGCTCATGCTCTCCAATATGACCGACGGCCTGTTTAACAAGGTTATTGCCGAAAGTGGTTGCAGCATAAACCCATTTTCAACACAAATAAATCCCATCCAAAATGCAAGGGATTATGCTCAAAGTCTTGGTTTCACGAACGCGAACGTGAGCAGTTTAGAGGATTTGGCAGAGTTTTACACAACAATACCTCTTTCCAATCTATTTAGCTCTCTGTTGGACATGGCCTCTACCAAAAATTCTTACTTTACTTTCCAACCTTGTGTAGAGGCAAATATTGGCCAACAAAGATTTCTAGAAGACGCGCCTATAAATGTTTTGAAGAGTGGTAATTTCAAAAATCTACCAGTTATATATGGATATGCTAAACATGAAGGTTTATTCAGAATTATGCAGCTCAACGAATGGACCGTTGCAATGAATGAAGATTTCTCTCAATTTTTACCAGCTAACCTGCAGTTCGAAAACGAAACACAAAAAGTTGAAGTAGCTAATATGGTTAAAGAATTTTATTTTGGACCTGGAGAGATCAGCGAGTCTTCTGTTTCTCAGTACATTAATTATTTTACTGATGTGGTATTCCTAAGTGGAATACTTCGTAGTGTTTCATTGCGAGTTGGAGCTGGTCAAGATAATATTTATTTATACGAATACTCTTTCACACACAATGAATCTACAAGTATACCGAATGCTGATGATCGAGGGGCTGATCACTGTGATCAATTTGACATTCTATTAGATCACTCAATACCTGAAAGCTTATCAGAGGAACGAACTAATATGTCACAAACGATGAGAGAGATTATATCTAATTTTATTAGCACAGGGTAAGAACTTTAACAGATACTTGGTGATTTAACATCTAGGTGGTGGTGACAGAACAAATATATTTGTGAGGCAATAAATAAAATTACCAGTACTTATAAATTTTGTGATGAATGCATACTTTTATCAGTAAATACGGGTATTAACCTGACATTAAATGCGTAAATAAAAAAGACCTTTACTCAACGTCTCACATGGTAGCATGATCTAGCTAGAGCTTCCTATAATTTATTCTAATAGACTATAATGAATATCGAGAAAACAGAATAGTCTAAATACCTAATAAAATAACCCGTTTTGAGACAAATAAATATTTTCTATCTATCTATCTAATATCCTTGTTTGTTTCATGTTTCTGATAGTCTCCGTAAATTTTATTTAAATCTCTATAGAATTATGATTTTATCGGATGTGATAACTCTGCTTATTTTTTAGGAACCCAACCCCATCAGAATCTTCCTTGCCGACATGGCCGCCAGTGGCCAGTGCCAACCGGTTTCCACACTACTCCATAGGTGACACCATTCAAGTTGCTGGCATTCCAGTTGAGAGTAGAGGCGCCTTCTGGGACGCAATTTATGACGTCTATGAAGCAATACCTCAACAACCAGTAGAAAATGAACCAGAGGCAGAGCCAACTACAACTGAGACACCGGAAGATGAAATAACGACTACAGATTCCTATGATGAAGAAACGACTACAGAGACAGCTGAAGATGAAGAAACGACTACAGAGACAGCTGAAGATGAAGAAACCACTACAGAAACATACGATGATCAAGAAACGACTACAGAAGCATATGGAGACGATGAAACAACTACAGAAGCAGATGACGTAGAACCGACGACAGAGGGATATAACTCTGCTAACAACATATTTTCTCATCAGCTATGGATGTTTTTCACGGTTGTCGCTGTAATAGCGTTTAAGTAAGAATTTTTTAATGTGCTATTATGTAGGCCAGGCAAAGCTTCGCTTTTCAAACTCAGTAATTATAAATTTAAGTTACTTTAAAGACTGTGCATTTGTGCAAGTGGACTTTTTTGGATTTTAAAGTAAGACAAATAGATTAGGTACATACTAAGTATAATTTATTGGCCTGATTAGATTTTACATGACACGTGTTAGTGAATAAGTATTAAATTATGTTCAAACATAAATAATCTTACTGATTTACTTTCCTTATCATTCGATTAGCAAAGAAATAAATCCTTGCAAAATTTCTACGAAAATTATTGCCGTAATTTAATTTTATGTTATCTATTTAACCTATTAACATCGAAGAACTGGAATAATTGATTCCGTGATCAGATAAATTTTGTTTCAATAGTGTGTGTCCTTGTACGACAAGATAGTGTGGTTCCCAGATACCACTTGGCGAAAAAATATAAGGTAACATTTTGTAATGCGCGCATACAAAAATTGATATAGCGTTTTGACTTTGACATCGGCCATGTACACAAGACTGTAATTCTACCCTCAAACACCATGTAATGAAGTATACCCGGGTTAATCGTGGCAGGCGACATAATTGGAGCCGACCCCTGCTCCCCCCGGGTAGTAAATACCCGAGATATTAATACCGAAACAACGGGCAGATGTAATGACTTCGCGATAATAATATTTCGTGTATGAAGCAAAAGGTCACTGAATGGGAGATTGCTTTTTCAAAGCGGTTTTGTTCTACAGTTGTTTTGTATACCTGCTTCAAGAGGCAGCTTAGCTCCACTCTTCCTTCAATAATGGGGACTGAAAGGAACAAGTATGACTTATGTTTTAACAAAAATCCTTTGTATGATGTAATAAATAAAAAATGATAAAATTAAAGATCTGAAAATCAACAAGAAAGAGTTGATTTCGCATGCTAGAGATAAATAATGTGATCGCAAGAAGGTTGTCTAATTTCATACGCGTACTATCTGAATGTATGTTACAATATCGGTAGTGAGATCTATGTAGGTGAGTTGTAAATTGTAATAGAGGAGAGTTGTGACATTGTCGATTTTTTTTTGGAACTTATTATCTACTAGCGCCCGCGACTTCGTACACTTGGATCCCGTTTTACCCTCTTAGGAGTGGAGTTTCGTAAAACCATTTCTTAGCGGATGCCTACGTCATAACATCTACCTGCATGATAAATTTCAGCCCGATCCGTCCAGTGGTTTGGGCTGTGCGTTGATAGATCACTATGTCAGTCAGTCAGTCAGTCACCTTTGAGTTATACATTATATAATTTTAAAGACAAGCGAGCTCGTAACAGTGCGCTTTTTTAGTTCAAGACTCAAGCTACACCCTGCTGCGAGCTCCCAGAAATTTACAATGTCACAATTCTCCGCTGTTACAACTCTCCTCCTACGCTAGTATAAAATCAAGTTACTTGATTACCTAAATCAACTATGTCCCTCAGCCGAACAGATATTGCCTTTATTGCTTCTCGATAAGTATTCCACTGGGACGACATTTCTGTGGTATCCCTTGTTTATGTTGTAAGTCGTAGTGACCCGTGAATATTAATATTATACTGGCTTTCTGGAAGCCGAGAGGAATAATAATCGGTCTGGATTGAGATTTTGGGATATTCAATATATTTCTAATCTCACCAGCTTATAGGACATCTGTCTAGTAGGTCAAATTTCTTCTTGCCTGGGATACAGCTGTTCCAATTAAAGTTAAACTTTGACCAAACTGTCCTTTTTTAGGGTTCCGTAGCCGTGGTAACAAGCAGACTCAATCGCAGCCGAAACGTCAAGCCGTGAGTAGGTAGGTACATAATGTAACTCATTAATAAACGTCACGTTAAGACCCGTGTCTTACTATTTTAATTGAAACCATTGAAGCATTGAAGTCTGTCTATTTTAATTCTAAAACGGTTCTTTTTGTCTCAGAGGCACAAACTCCACGTTCTAGTTATTGGTCACTCACTGCACATTACACCCTATATGATATCAAAATAATCTGCGCATAGTGAGAATATTAATCATAAGAAAACTATGCGACTTTAGCGATAGTCATCTGGACAATTTCACCGATAAAATCCCAATCCTATTAAGTACAACCGACCGAAAATTGGGATGGATAAGATTTGCCGCAATGCACGTGTGAACGGTATGTTCAATAACTCTACCATTTGTCTCATAGGTAAGTAAAATTGGTACCACAATTTTTACTTTTCAAGGGGTCTAAAACAATAAAATGTTAAACTTTTCTAATCATCAAAAAAGTTCAGTGACTCTACGGGCAACGTATTTAATAGAATTTTGTAGCACCAGTTTGCGCCACTACTGGTGAATACTAGTTAGTATCACTTGCTAGTGACTAGGATAATAGCATAGGTAGTCGTAGTCAGTACTAATATCCACTATCAGGGCTTCATAAACTGTGCATTATCCCAAGGTATGGGCTTGAGGATTGTCCCAAAGAAGGCGCGAGGCAATCGAAAACAAATATAGAGAAAGAGATGAGAGTGCCAATTTCCAAAATTGAGTCACATTTTGCTCAGAAAAGTAAGTTAACCACACAAAAAAGCACATACTTTTTATTAGTACCCATTTTTTTGTTGTTGTACGTAGTTAATAAACAAAGGCGTCGCAAAAAATTGCACTACATTATTATTGCTCTTTTATCAAAATGTTGGTAAATAAACGGCACTGCGAACCTACTCATAGGCATTACTTTATTCCACTATACGCTTTGCCCAGCATTTTCTGCTTGCGAGGTCGAAACCTCGTATGTAATAGGTTTTAAGACCCTAATCTCTTTACAAGCCTTCGATATGATCTTACAGCTGGGGTTTCGGAGTAATAGACCCGAATATACTAGGTTTTACCGAAATTAATAGTTTTTCAGGCACAGAATCGTATTTAGAGGTAGGTTATATTCGTTAGTCCACGTTAAAAATAATAATTTAATGTTAGTTCAGGGTTAATTAATGGATTAATAATTTGAATTTTACTCAACAGACGTACTCACAGACTCGTACTTTTTCAACAGAAAAACAATTATGATGCTTTGTTTTTTTATTAATTTCATTTGACGTCTTTATTATTTCCCGTGTTATGTTATTTTAACTCACGAAAAAGGCAATTTAAACGCACAAAAGGATAAAATACCGTGGAGTTAACAACACGGCAACGAAATAATTTTCTGAAAGCAACAATATTATATCCTAAACAACAATACGCCCTACAAAAATAATATAATATGTTTAATATTAACGAAGATAATACCTTCGGTTCCCGTATTTTCATAAAGCTTAATTCTTTAGTGTGCCGTAGAAATGCTTAAACTTAATCTAATACTTTCAATATTATCGCTAAAAAGTGTTTTTTTCTTCAATCGCTCCTTCTTAATTAGCCTAGGCGCAGACCATCAACTTTTGGTTGGCCGATAGTTGGGCCCGATTCTAATTTGCATGAAGAATCGACCGATACCAAATCGGTGTAATGTGCGCACTTTCATACATTTCCATACTGATTAACAGCCCGACCCAACTATCGGCCGACAAAAAGTTTGTAGTCTGCGTCTAGGCTAAAGCGTTTTTTTAGCCTATTTAGACATTTAAAAACTAAGTATTTTTTTTATAACTTTTAACTTTCACCATGTTTTTATCCGATAGGATCTCAATAATCTGTAATTTTATATTAATCCCAAACGATATTTTCCACAATGTAAACACCTCGTCAAAGAGAAATACTATAAAATCGACTTTTACCACTCTGCAATAAACTTACGATAGTTGGTAAATTCTAGCTTCGTCTGCAAACTTGTACTCGTTCGGAAATAGTTGAAACGAGGCGAAAAATGTCACGTTCCCGACCGTGCCGTAATGAAGCCCCTTGAACGTTGATTTCACGATACCTTCAAAAATATTTAAGTTATAATATTTTTGCAACCTTTTATATATTTTTCGGACTTTCCACTTCATTAAGTCGGCAATAACCTAGGTTGTGCTGCGTAAAAGGTCTGCAGAATTCAATATCAAATAAAGATAACATCATCTTTTTTAACTACAACGGACATGCCTAAACGCTCTTAGAGATCTCACCTGATGGAAAATTATTAAAAGGGCGAAGGTGGGCGCGAGTATTTAGTTTTAAAAAATAGTCTTTTTACTTTTCCTTTCTTTTTGGCCTTGCTAACCACTAGTAATTTTGGTAAAAATATATTTTACAACGAAATTATTGAGTCTCTTGATTTTATTCCTTGCACACAAAATTTGAACTTAATCATCATTACAATATTGCCTAAACCGAGACGATAAGGCGCTTTGTCATGTTCAAAGCAATTTGGGCCTAAAAATTTGCGAAATTATGGACTGGGAAGAAAATACCTACTTACTCTACCAACCCTAATATTTCTGGGTAATTTGCCAGATAATCAGCTTTTTTATTGGAAATAGGATGGGGAACGGAGGATACGAGTAGGTACAAGGTATGTTATTTTATTTTGTGAAACCAAAAATGAAATTATTCTAATCCAATTTTTTTTCTTTCTTTCTTTATTTCTTCTTCTTTAAGATTTGAGGAATTTTTCATACTTCTATGGATGTAAAAGTACTTTCATATTAATTTATTTTTAGAATATTTAAAATTCTTTCATTCTTTCTTTCTAAAGACTTTCAGAGAGGAGATGCCTATAACAACAGAAAATAATTAAACTCGTAGAATATTTAATAAACCTTTTTATTTTCATCAATTTATTTTTCTCTGTTATATTTATATATTCGAAATTTGTAATTTACAGTGGTCTGTTATTTCCGTACAATTTATTTTCTCGAATCATACTCGTATAATTGGTACTTATATTACAACCTCCACATATATGATAGAACCTCTAGACACACACACGATTTGTATATTTATACGAAATTGTAAATAGGACGAAGTAATTTTTAACAAATAAATATATTATTTAGTTAACAATACATATTTTATCATTTTGGCACTACTTATTAATAAATAATAACAGTTATCGTAACTTAATTAAAACATAAAAAATAATGTCAAAGAGCGAGATATTTTACCTATAGATATTACATAATAATTATTTCATAAGATGTTTTTTTACAAATAGAGTATACAGGAACTCAGTGATTAGACTTATCATAAATATCTAATGAATGAATGAATCAATATGTGCTATACATAATTTGTCACAGATATCTAATTATTTATATTATTATATTTTATAATAGACTTTCCCTTAGTACTTATACATACATAGATAGAGCTTTAGACGAAAATAATATAAAACATATCGGAATGAAAATGAGAATCAGTCTTTAGAAGTGTACCTACTATACAATAATAGATAGACATAATGGAAAGATAATAGTCTGAAAAGCCCACAGAAAAAACAATAGGTAACATAATAAAACCATTTGTTAACATTTGTATGTACTTATTGTTCTACAAGTTCAATATTATTATTATTAACATTCATTAAAGTGTAAGACGTTTGACTATCTATTTGGTGTTTTTATATCTAACATTTACATAGATAATTTCAAGACAAAAATATAAAAATTTACTCTGTTTTCGAATTGTCTAAATTGGCATCGAGTCCATACACAGAATTGGTGCTATGTATTATCTACACTCGGTTTGTTTAGAATTGAGCTTTTATTTTACACATGTACACACATTTGATTAGTCAGTAGACGAAACGATTACGACTAAATTGTTAACCTATCTATCCACTACGACACTGCTACGATTCACTATGCACTTTAGTTATATCTTGATAGAGTAGATATTCGCTGGAGTACGGCGCGGATATGTGTACTCGTAGGACGCGGGGGGCGCGGGGGCCGAGGGGCGGGCTCAGATGGCGGGCAGCAGGGGGCTCGGCGACCGCGGGGGCCGCCGCACGCCGCCGCTCCAAGCCTCAGCCATCATATCCTCGTCTCCCTGCACACGCGAACTCGACATACTCTCAGCATCACACTCCTCAACTTCCCAACTCTGAGTACGAGATGTTGATATCATTTAACTTAGAGTAGGGCAGCTATGGAACCACTAATCTGGACGTCGCTAAACGCGACGCTTCATGCGTTACTAGTTCTATCTACGACTCGCAGGGGAGACTAAAGGGTATACGTGCGGGGCAGTGCGAGTGATTAAACCACGTATTACGGTGTGAACACTTACATATAAGAAGTAATTACCATCATCGTGTGAGGCGTCGGCGGCCCCATCGGGGGGCCAGGGACCGAGGTGGCAGGAGGGGCCATTGGGGGTGGCGGCGCCGGCGGCGGCTCGGGGGACGCGGCCGCTGGCGAGAACGAGGACGGCGCTAGTGGAGATTGAGCTGGAACAAAACACTCCTCAGATAACCTGATCTCAATGAGCCAAGGTAAGGTAATGACAGAATAGAACCAAATAGAAGTAAGAACCAATCTGAGCCGCTGGAACGCTGCAGATGCAGAAGACTTAGTGCATTTTTTTTTCATTGAGCGGCTATTCTAGTTCTATGAAGTCCCACAATTACTACGACCGGTACCGATCTATTGTGATCACCACTATTTTTCTTACAGTTCACCTCAAAGTCCTAGAGCATAGTGCTACACCTCTTTTACCGATCCTTAATCTTCCATAGATGGTTCAACTAATATTAAAGTACAAAGGTCAATTAAAACTAACTCATTCATTACAGTTAGTTCCATCACAAATTGACTCCAACTGCAGCTAAGCTGGATATCCACGAGCTTTTTTTAGCAGCACCTTAACCTTTCATGGGATCAGCTCTCAGTACAAAGTTAAATAAAACTTACCCGCAGCAGTGAGTGCCAGCACAAACTGACTCCAATGCACGCAGCAGCCGCAGCACAGCTGCAGCGCAGCGCGGCGCAGCGCTCGATGCAGCGCCATGAACAGCAGCGGGTTGACTGCCGCGTGCACGTACGATATGTGCAGCGTTATTTGGAAGTACATCTGTCAAGAAATTAATACATTATTTAGATGGGTATTTTATCTGCATACAGTTCTACATAATACTCTAATTGGAGAGGTATCCCTGCCTACAGTTGTTCTACAGATATTGCAACTGCGCTAACAGTACATTTGCTTACTCATCAGTTCTTAATTAATTTGACCTCTCTACTTCAAGGCTCTTGAATCACTTGGGTTATTATTGTGTTCCTAGTCTGGTTATCAACCGTAGTGTCGCGCATACTGCAGTACTTCGGACATGTCTCAAGGCGGAATGATACTGCATAGAACGACTGTTCGTCCAAGGAAAAGTCGAAGGAACCCGATCGCGTGGCAAGTCACCTATGGGCTGGACCGACCAAGTGAAATCGGCAGTGGGAGACGGCGTATGTGACTGCACCAGACAGTCTGCCAACAGAGAGAGATGGCGGGAGATCGTGCGGAGAGTTGTATCCGCCTCTACAACCGATGTGAACAACGCCTTAACGTGACCACGACCGCTCTGCCAAGAGCGAAACGAATGAGCAGAAGAAGTCTGGTTAAAACATGCTTGAAGGGTCCTGATTATAAGTACAAATCTGTGTTTCAGAGGTTACAACCCTCGTTTTTTAGAAACAGAATGCCAAAAAAATTGCCTGCAATTTTCAATCTATTCTAGTGCAGGAAAAATGAATAAAAATTCACGCAGCTTGCGTTCGTTATTAAACTGTGACACGAATATTGACGACGCATTTAGGCATGCCATTCCGCATAGTGGTTAACTAGTATATACGAGTAAATGTACGTACAGTCGATAGCATGTCAGACTTTATATTTTTGTTGCAAAAGAACACCTAATACAACTTCTATATTCCCGTTTTGCGATGGTGTTGGTGTGTGTACAACTATAATGTAGGTAAACGAAACGACTGTATATCGCTGGGCAAACATACATAACTCTTAAGACGCCTGCGGCGTCTAATCTCGGTTATATCACGCGTAGCACGTATCGTTTACGAGACTCTATTAGAATTTCATGTAGACTTAAAAGGTCTTTGTTGTAACATTTAGGTTAGAAATCTACCAAGGTTGTTTGGTAAACAATTACTTTATCCATTTAACATTACTTAGTATGCTATATCATAGTATCTATTATATCGACTCTAAGAAGGTTATGTATGCGACACCAATTTTGGGACGGAAAATAGTTGGTGATTTCATGAGAACGCTAAAGAAATTCGGACATCCTTAATGCTCTTTTGATCCTCGGAATTACACAATTCTCGTGAACTACGAAAGCGAGAGTCATAAAAGGTTATTGCATAGTTAAATGTCTTCAGTAGCTTCAGCTTGGAAACTGAATGCAGCAAAATGTAGAACTAATCTTGTAAAAAAGGTATTTTTGAATTTCGACAAGTAATCTTATTTGTTTGACGAACATATAAGTATTCTCATAGTCTCATACTAACCTCATAAGCAACGTGTGACGTCAAAGCCGGGTGATGGAACAGCGTGATTATAAACAGCGGTCCCCAGAAGAGGACATAAGCTGCCGTGATGACCAGAAACATGCGGACTCGCCTCACTCCCTCCCTTTCTACCCTGGCAAGGTACCCTCGCAGGCGACGGCCTCCTCCAAGAGGCAGGTTGGCACTAGCTCCAGACCTGCATTGGCCATCGGCTAGCGCTCCGTCAACAGTCTGCGCAGAAAGAAAAAGTCTCAAATCAAACTGGCCACAAATAATCTTTGTCAAGGTTTCATGTCAACAATACGGAGTTAATAGAATTTTCTAACCTCTTGCATCCAATATACTCACAAGCCCATGAGGTTCTCATCAGGGTTTGCGATATCTGTATTAATTTTGTATAATAATTTCTAAAATTCTATTTAAAATCTTGAAAATGTGTAGCCGGGGCAAAGGGGAAAAGAGCATAGTTGTTTTTAAGAGAATTCAAGGGAAAAAGGATGACAAGGTATTTGTGCTCCAGTTTTTAAAGAAAGTGCCAGCTAAATATCTGTTTAGAGATGCATTCTGTTTAAATTCTGACTTTGAAAAGACAGGTTGAAGAAACAAGGTTTGATCAAGTTATACAAATCCAAGAAGCTACACTACGATACAAACTACAGCATCTAGAAGAGTATCCAGTGGTTGCAAAACTAAATGTCGTGCATGATACGTACCCTGGGTCCAACGCTGTTGGGCAGAGAGTCCATGCGCCTGTTGTCGCCAGCCATGCTGACTAGGGTCGTCACTAAACCAGCTACTCGAACTGCCTCTACGTTAGCCTGCATGCGATAAGATTTAAATTTATCGAAAACCCCTAGCAGACAACAGCTTTCAATGGGATGATGCAGTACACATCGCCCAAATCGAATCCCGAAAATTTAAATCTTATTTACGAACGCTGCGAGATATTGGCAATGTACCAACAAATATTCCTAGTCCGGCCAATGGACTAGTGTATGCACAATATTGCAGCAACTCCAAATTATGTGGATGACTTCGTGAGTTTCAACGAGTTTCGGGCTAGTTTTGTGAGTGCGCGTAAGCAGAGGCGATGGAATTGAGAGCGTAGAAAAGTAACTTCATGCAAATAGGGTTCGTACATCGTTGCATAGTAGGGTGCAAATTTCAGGCCGAGTCGATAAACTGTGCGCAGAAATTTAATTCTATAACTTGGCTCAATGAAATATGCACGTTATGACTTCGGTATTCGGACTCTATTTCCTTGATGTTGCTTGAGTCTTTACTTGTACTGCTTACGTACACTCCTTCGCGTTGTGGACTAGCACGTCTACGGAACTGTGTCATTCAATGTCTGCTATTGCTAGATTTTTCACAAAGCTGTGGATGGTTTTATGACCATACAATGATTTCAAATATCATGGAGAAGTTTATGGTACAAATTCTCGTTAATGGAGATGGATATGATAAGGCAAACGAAGGAAACGAAGCACGTACATTATTTACTGCCACGAGATCAGAGAAAAAGAGACGTTTTAGACGTAACGATAAGAAAAAAACCTTTTTGTAAGTAAAACAATCTAAATTCAGCTTACTATGTTTCACTTTCATTAATTTACTGGTAGTGAAAGAGGCGACTACCTATAATTTTCACCATGACGTCATAACGCGAAAATTTAAAGTAAATTCAACTTTGATTATCCTGCTTTCGCCTCCGAGATTTATTTTACCATGTAGTACCCCTGTACGACAACCCAATCCGCACACAATATTCAGCGTAGTAGTATTAAAAAACAAAAGAGCGGGCAACCCCACCCCTACCACGCTGTGGGCTCGGTGTCCGAGCGGTCTCATTCCTTTGTGCGCACGCGCAACGACCGCACGCAGTATAAGAAAAATGCTTAAGTGACGTCACCAGGACGTTTTTACCGACAAAAAACGTAATTATTTTAAGTTGTGCAGTGTAGTGACGAGAATTAGACCCAACAAAAGGTTGGTTGTAACAACTATTTTGTGCAAGTGCTCGTACATTTTTATTATAAGCGTTGTGACACGACGCGTAACTTTGACCCATTTTTAGCTCCAAGTTAACGCGCGATGTTAACCAGTAGCCATTTTTTTGCTCCGAGGTAATGCGAGATGTTACCCAGTAGCCATTCTTTGCTCTAGCGAGTTAATACGAGATATTAACCAGCAACCACTTTATATTCGGTCATTTTTGCGGGTCATTTTTTAACCAGTAGCGTTAATACGAGATATTAACCAGCAGCCACTTTATGTTCGGTTATTTTTTAACCAGTAGCCGTTTTTTGCTCTAGCGAGTAAAAACGAGATATTAACTACCGAGATAGCCAGGTATTGTAATATTATTCACTTTTACGAGTTAAGTATCTTCTTTTCGGCCATTTTAAAAAGCCGTAAAAACAGAACATAATGAGCTCATACAGAAAAATGTTGCGTTTGTACGAAACTACCCACATTAAGAGCTTGCCTTCTTGGCCTTACACCTTATGAACCATCAACCGTCTTGGAGCCTGATGACCCGGCGCCGCGGACGCACTCGCCCCAGTCGAGCCTCCGCCTGCTTTTATAACGACCGATGACCCTGTGGCCATACACATTGTTCAATGCTACAAAGGGTAACTGAATAATTTTGTTGTTTTGTATTTTTATACATTACACCAATCGATATTGGTCTAAATACAAAGGCTAGTAAGAAAGAAATAAGTATCAGATCAAAATTCAAAGTGCATTTATGTAGATTCATTACTTGCTATTATAAGGTCAGAATAAAAGATCCTAAATAAACCTTAGGCCGGTTTGTTGACCGAACCGAGTCGAAGTGGAAATAAATGCCTACTTTATATATGAAGTATGACAATATGTCGTTTTTTCTATGCAACGACTCATATTAACTGACATTGTGATTTTGAGTACTTATCAGTCTCACATTTTTTTTGTTGGAAACTTACAAAGATCTTTCTACATTTCCGGTCGGTCGACCAATTACATCGACGGTCGACAACTATAACTCATTATAATCCTCTAAAACGGGAAAAGAGGTATTTATTTGATATGACAACTAATCCAGGCTGCTGCACTGAATATATAATTAAGCTTTAGCCGTTCGCATAACTGTGTGAATCGAGGCTTTATACAGAGGCCGTACCGACAAGCTACGCCCTGCTGTATGGTATGATGGGCTAAGACCTATCACCCGCCCGCGGCGCAACCACGCCGCCTTCCACAAGCGCAGGCGCCTTTATTTACGCCGCAGCGCCGCGCCGCCGCCGCCGCATGCCCAGCGCTGCCAGCGCAACGCGGGAAGCGCCATTAAAGACCGACCAGAACACCAAGGTAACCCGCGTCCCTAGACGACGCGCCATCTATGTACAGGTATGTGCTGGCCGCTTAAAATATTTTTATTTTAAATGCAATGTACATATTATCCGGTTACAGAATTTATTGTACCGAGATACCTATTCGATTCCCGAATCGAACCCAGATGATTTTTTTCATAATCATCATAACCATGCGAGTAAACATAATTAATTATACAAACAAATAATTATACACGTCGGCGCAGAGACGTTGATATTAAGAATATTCTTAATCGCATCCGTCAACACGAGTACATTCTGAGATTACCCACTTGTTAAAAAAAAAAAAAAAATGTTCCTAGATGGTGGACTTAGATAGCGTTTATATAAGATGCTAAACAAAGTTTATGTGGTTTAAGCACTTCAAAAGGGATGATATTTTAACCGCAATTAAACTTTTAACAAAAGATTCATTTATGGTTTAAAGAAACTTATTACTAATATAATATGTTTATTACATAAACACGATAGCCACTGAAAAGCAAATAGAATTATGGTCTTATTTTAACGGATGCTTGTTTTGTATCTGAACAAACAGGCAACATTTTTGTTTGTCTCTTTGCGGCCTTTCTTTAGCCCTGATATTTTTACAAAGTTTATTTTTTTATTCATGACGTCTCACCAGCTTGTATCTATAAATAATAGATAAAATCTAAGAGCTTCCTTAAACTGTATCGGTATCGGTACTTAAGATGACGTCATTTTTTTCTTGTATTGGAAAAACATTATTATGTAGGTTTGTACCTACTAATCAATGTATGATTAATGCTAATAATACTATTGATAGTCTTACAAAGTAAGGCTTCATCATCATTATTATTATTTATTTAAAAAAAAAAAAAAAAAAGGTCAGTTTTAACTCCATGTACTGTTTTACAATTGGTTCGTATAAACTATTTATGTATAACGTTAGAATTCTCATAAGAAGAGATGCGACATCATGAAATACATTGAATCATTTCTTATCTTGCTAAATCTTTTAGACAAGCAAAGTATCTTATTATGCGTTAAAGCGATAATAACTATGCCTTTATAAATATAACACAATAATAATTACATTGTAATCAATGTAATAGAAAATTATTGACGCATCAAAAAATAAATCGGGCCGCTTGTAATAACAACCGGACTAGTGGACTTTGGTCAGTCAAAGAACGAATCAACCACATAAAATAAACTATGTATTATGTAGGTACCTACCAGTACTACCACTACTTGTAACCTTTAGTTTAGATTAAGGACATTTTTTAATAATACCAAAAAATAATGCGATTTTATTTTACGAATTGATAACGCTGCCACAAACTCATAATAATGAATGAGTCTTTCTTCCCTTTCTATGAAGTATAAATTGAGAATTAGTATTTTGTTATTTTTTCTTAGCATGATTATAAAAATTCAATCATCACAGTCATAATACTGAAGCTGACTGAATCAAGGTGTCTGAATAAAGACACGGAGTAGGAACTTGGTTTAATATTGTCTCAGAAAATGTTAGACGCTTTGGTTTCTGTACATGACATAAACCTATTTTTTGTTTCTTGAACTTTGTTTGATATTTAGTCATAATTCATATTTTATCGTCTGGCGTAGAGATTTCTACACGATTAACATGAATTAATTCCAATTAATTCGCCTTAGAATGGCGACCCTTTTTTTTTTAGACGTTAATACGTTTTTTCACTAAAAAATAAATAAATAAAAAAAAAAAATAATAATAATAATAAAAAAAAAAAAAAAAATAGAATGCTGGGGCAACAGGTACATCAGTAGTACCATATTGCCCATTTAAGCTTACCTTTCCTTTGCAGTAAGTTTTGTATTTGGCAGTCGTGGATCAAACAAAACGTACCAGACTCCGCTATACACTCCGCAAATAATAAATAAATATCCTTCCTTCGACATTTTACACTACGCTCCTAGTCCCAAACACTGAGCAAAGCTATGGGTCCTAGACAACGGATATAAACATACTTAAATACCGTTTTTATATACATAAGTACATATTATACATAGTAACACCTAGACCCATCACAGAAATTAAAATGTATCAATTCAATTTCTGCCCGGCCGGGGATCGAACCCGGGACCTCTCGGCATAGTAGTCCGTTTTGAAACCACTACACTAAATGACTGACAAATAAATATTTTTACAATGCTCAATTACATCATTGTACCTACCTTACTCTATTTTCTTAGCATATTCTAAAGTCGGGTGCATCCTATAATAACATTAAATAACCACCGCTTAGCAATATCGTTAGTGAAATCATATAATTTATTGAAATATATAATTATTTAAATAAATAATATAATTTATAGGTCAGGTTTCAAGAATCAAAAGATTGCTATTAAAAGGTGCTATTAAATAGAAACCAAACTTTTTCCTCGCAACAGTGTTACTTGGAATCCAAATTAATACTGTTTTGGAATACTGGTCAAACTGTATCCAAATAAATTAATAAGTTTTAATTAACCACATTATTTATTTATTAATTAAAATGCAAGTGAGCTTATGTTTTACAACAATCAGAGTGTTAGCTTTGCAGTCACTGTGATCGATTCGGTGTTAACCACTACCGTCGTCAAGCTCAGTTCTGAGATGAAACTGGATAAATATAGGAAAGGAGTGTCGACACGAGGGTGTTCGGCCCACACAGCACGCGACACGCGGCAGTATTGCCTGCGGTTTGCGCCGCTGTCAACGTTGATTCAATTAGCCAGTGTGCTGGATAGACAGGATGCTCTGTCAACTGTCTTGGCAACTTTTTACAATCAGTAGTCGTACTTAACAGTTAATAGAAGTACAAATAAATGTATATAATAATACTCTATAATGAACAAAATCTTGTTGAGACCGTGATACTTGTTATTGTTATGAATAAGTGATGCAATACGATTATAATACAAAAATATTGCTTTATTATGTATTTAGTACATTGACATTTACTCTCTTAACCATTTAACATGGACATTGATCCATGCTCTAAACATCTACATGGTAAAATAAATCTCGGAGGCGAAAGCAGGATAATTGAATGATCAAACGAACTTACCAAGTGAAGTTCGATCTAAATTATCCTGTTTTCGCCGAAGAGATTTAAGGTCCCTCCCAACCCGAAGATTTCTATATCTTCTTCCCTGGAGGTAAACGTCAATGTCATCTCTTCTCTAAATATAATGAGACCGCTCGGACACCGAGCCCACAGCGTGGTAGGGGTGGGGTTGCCCGCTCTTTTGTTTTTTAATACTACTACGCTGAATATTGTGTGCGGATTGGGTTGTCGTACAGGGGTACTACATGGTAAAATAAATCTCTTCGGCGAAAACAGGATAATTTAGATCGAACTTCACTTGGTAAGTTCGTTTGATCATTCAATTTTAAAACAAAAGAGTTTCATGAAACTGTTCTTCACGAATCTTCCAAAAGTAATATAAGTTAGTACCTATTAATTTCTTAAGTTCTCGAAAACAATACCTAATGATTTTGCAAAAACATTGGTTCGTTTAGCTATAATTTACGAGTCCTTGTATTCTATTATCACTTATTATTTTACCAAATTTCTCTGGTCTCGTGGCTTTTAGTATACATTTCAAAACCTCTCCATGCCATCTGTTCGGAAAATTCTGGAACAAATCCAATCATGGATACCTTTGTAAGATCCCTGTGGAGTTTCTTCAGGTGGAAGAGAGTCAGGCCGACGCAGACGGCGTTGACCCCGATCCAGAGGGCGTTCAGCACGTAGTGCCTGAAGGGCCCTCTTACTAGGGGGCAGGACGGGGAGGGACCGTACGACCCGTAAGACCCGGCGCTGGCAGCCAACGCCCCGGATAAGAATGTAGGCCCGAGGTTTATTGTGATCGACGCGAACCATATCATGAACGTTCCGAAGAGGACACACTGCAACAAAATTCTATCTGTGACTTATATAACACACATTATTATTAAATACATACTTCAATACATGCAAACTTAAGGACTTAGTACACTTATCTACATGATTTTAAACCTTTGTCACCTGTCATCCGCTTTGCAATTGAGGAAAGTCGAACCTTAATTTCGAACTCCTCCTATGTTCTTCTGATTAATTTCGTTGCGGGTCCAATGACAGTTTAACTTTCCCCCGGGACAAACTTGCCCTTCATTGGTTGGGTTTTTGTGGCGGTCAAGCTGTAGATCCTGGCTACACAGGAGTTGCAGTGGTGGGAACGAGAGCTGGGAATAGTCCCGTTATCTATATGATGATGACAGCTCGTGAAAGGCGATACGGTGATGATCTCTTTCCGAGTTGATAAGTCTGCTATGACCTTTATAAGTCATCATTCCTGTAGTGATTGCAATTTTAGGACAGCAGGTAATTAAGTATTTGATCTAATTTAAACAGAATATCGCAGTTCGGATGATGGTACATCAAGCTAAAGGCTGAGGCATTATGTTTTTATAACTCGTTTTTATAATGAGAAGTAGTATTAAGTGCGATTTACGAAACAAAAAACACGTCAGATGTGTTGTCGACTATACATTTTGCAAAAAAATAGGTACGGTCTGTACATAACCATAAAACCTCATTTCTCTTTAGGTATAAAAGTGTTTTAGTGCTCTAGATTTAATATTACGCTAACTTACAAGTACGAGTAAAAAGAAACATAAATGAAATAGACGAATGGCCTTCGTATATTGGAACATTATTTGAAGATATAGGTGTAAATTTTACGAATTTACATTGTATCTTCTTACTTCTTTGTGGAGAGAAAGAAAGAAATTATTAATAGAGATGCGTTTAACGTAAACTCACACTACGCCCCTGATTAGTTATTCAACACACTCTGCTCCACTCCGCCTTGGTGAACACCGAGCCTTACCTGTGGACTGTCCATCAGTAATGGTGCAGACAAATCTGCTTGTTCTTCTTCGTTCTCGGGGAAGATAGGACTGTCGTTTAGCACCGTCGTTAGCATGTTCACTGTGGACACCGTCACCTACAAAGAAATACAAATTAATAAAACAATTCAAATAACATGGCGGCGAAGCAAGAACTAAAAGTATGGACTCTAATTTCTACTTTGAAAATGGGTAACTTGGATTTAAACATTCAGGATAAAAAAAACAGTTTAAGGCTTTTAAACTTTAACTTTGACAAACGTCAAAAATCTGTCGAACTCCATACAAAAAGCACCGGGTATCGTTATAGTTACGGTCAAAGTTAGGTAGTGCAACTCAGCCTAAATATTTTGACAATCTCTAAAACATAACATGGTTCACAGAACATTAAAAGTAGAGAACGTTGGTGTAGATCTAAAGTACCTTTATCAATTAAAAAGGCACTATACTATAACGACGAATATCTATACAATGTCCCACCCATATGGTTTCCATCTTTAAGTATTACAAATTGTGGGGAAAAAAAACTGGCTATCATACACATTGCGTTACCCTGAGCTATGACTGACGACTCTACTTTATATGGCACTAGGAATCCTTTTATTTCCATAATACTACATACATACATGGATATAAAGCATCAATGGATCATTTCATATAATAAATTGGTGCCCTAAATGTCTGAGAACAAAAGGTGGGGCTAAATTGCGTTATTATTCAGTTTCATTCGCGTATAAGAATTAGGTAGAGTAATTCGTCTGTGTGGAAATTTATTGCAAAAGTAACGGTTTATCATACAGGGTGTGCAAGCCGAGCAACTCAATGAATAACCCAAGGGAAGAGGGAAAATAGTTACCATCATAAATATTTTGAAGTATATTTCCTGGTCTTAAAGCCCAAAAACAATGAAAAATTTAGACTTGCTATGGAAAAAGGTGGTCATCAAAGATGGTCACACATGCTCATTACTAGCACAAAAGCATGCTACTATTGGGCAATTGCTGCTAAGTAGCATGTATGTCGAAGCACTGTTATTAATAAGCATGCTCATTTCGAGTTGTTCGAGACACGCTTGTTTTAAGCATGCTAATACGCATGATATCTTATGAGCATGTGTAACTGTACCTTAATGTTTTTAAGAATCATCGCTAAAGATTCACAAACCTTTCACAGAAAACCGCTCCTAAAGTGGTTAGACCGTTTTAGAGATAATGGAAAGTTTAGCACCTCTTTGTTTTTTCGTACCTAGTAAAATAGGTATCCCAAGATTAGGTTGGAGTGAATTACTGCCATTTTTATAACGTTAACGTTCATTCACAGATTTTTAGCTCTTTTAAATAAAAATCTTCAAGACAAAGCGTATCTTGCGTACTTATAGGTGCTTAACTGTCCCAACAATTTAATTGATATTTTGAATTAATTTTAATCCTCATTTACTTGGTCCATTAACTCTGAGACACCCTGTATTATTTTAAGCGTGTTTTTCCCGCGAAGCTCAGAAATTAACGATCCGGTATGATGAATAGCGGATTATAACTTTGCTTGGGTACGATTAAGTTTGGATATCCAAAAGCTTATGGAACTCTCTATGTACTCTGTTGATTTTAATTAAACGTAAAGATTAGAACCTATTCATAAACTTAAAATACGATTCCTTTTATGAGGGCTGGAGAATATAATAACTTTATACATTTTTGATAACTTTAGATAAATTAGTCGAAGGTATCATATTAAATTATTGTCTTTATTAAGCTTTCTTTTACATAGTCTCATTATGTATAAAGCAGTCCATCGGTGGACTTCATTTGGCTAAACAAAAGATGTAGGCTGGGTTGCACATCTTACTTTAACTTTAACAAACGTTAAAAATCTGTCAAACTCCAAACAAAAAGCACCGCGGTATCGTTAAACTTATGGCCAAAGGAAAGTGGTGCAACTCAGCCATAGAGATTTTTGCCCTTTTTGCAAACATTTGTACCACCTTCGACTCTTAACTTCCAGGCTAAGATACCTGTATTAACTGCCAGCATTATTCTCGGTTTCTTATCCGGTGGCAACGCGACGTTAAGTGCCGATAAATCAGCGGTGGCCTGCCCTTAATTTGTTACTAAGCCTGCAGGCGATGGATGCGATTCCCCATCTTACCCGGGTGTATAATTACTGGGTATTTTTTACCTTCTTGAGACAAAAGCCGGTGTCATTAAGGCTGAGTTGCACCACCTAACTTTGACAGTAACTATAAGGTTAACCAGTGTTTTTCGTATGGAGTTGGACAGATTTTTGACGTTTATTAAAGTTAAAGTAAGATGGAGCCTAAGAGTACTGGTTTGTGTATGTTCCACAAGCTTGTAAGCAAAAGGCGATGACAGCTTTTCTGAATAGATTATGTAGGTATTTAATAACGAAGGATTGATCTAACTCTTAGGTACATGATATAATAATCTAGGATTAAGCTACCCATGTCAATGTCAGTTGAAAGAACATTGAACTATTATAAATGACGAATTTCCCGTTATAGAGATTATAATAAACTGTAGCCTTGAAAGGATACCTAAAAAATATTATTTTGTGTTAAAATGTTAGAAAACGTTATTGTACTCTCTTTTCAAATGTCGCTTTTTTCGTAAACACGTAAAAAAGCCCACAAATTATTAGAAACAAAAGCTCTAAATTAAATTTGTAACAATCTCCCGTAGATAATTTACAATAATAATAAATTAATTCCCGTAATAAATTAAAAAGAAAACGTCAAATGCAGGAAAATATTGTGAAAGGTTTTTTCAAATGTCGCTTTTTTCGTAAACACGTAAAAAAGCCCACAAATTATTAGAAACAAAAGCTCTAAATTAAATTTGTAACAATCTCCCGTAGATAATTTACAATAATAATAAATTAATTCCCGTAATAAATTAAAAAGAAAACGTCAAATGCAGGAAAATATTGTGAAAGGTTTTTTTAAACTGTTCAAAGCGAGTTTTTCGGTCGTTTCCCCGCTTCAAGCTACTTTTTTACGAGCAAACTGGAGTCTGCTGTAATAATTACTCCAACTTTTCTACCTATGTAAGATGAAAAGTAAATGAATAATTTAATCAAATAAAACTTTAAGCCCAAATAAACTGAAAACATTTAATTTTCGGATAGATCCAGTTAATTTTGTAACCTATTATTGGTACCGTTGGATAGAGCTCGTGAAGCACTTTCAGGATCAGTAACCAGTTTTTCGATATCTTGTATGGTTTAGAAATAATCGAATGAGATCACTTATCGTTTCCACCCTGTATCCCAACTAATCCCAACTAATATTATAAATGCGAAAGTAACTCTGTCTGTCTGTCTGTCTGTCTGTCTGTCTGTCTGTCTGTCTGTTACGCTTTCCTGCTTAAACCTCGCAACCGATTTTGATGAAATTTGGCATAGAGATAGTTTGAGTCCCGGGAAAGAACATAGGATAGTTTTTATCCCGGTTTTTGAAACAGGGACGCGCGCGATAAAGTTTTTCTGTGACAGACAAAATTCCACGCGGGCGAAGCCGCGGGCGGAAAGCTAGTAGTACATAAAGACAAAGTCGCTCTCGCTATTACTATTCTGTAATTACAACTATAGTTAAAACGGTCTCAAAAATAATAACAAATTACTATTGTTATAACAGATAATAAAAGATGGCTACTAATTGACACTGAAGTCTGAACGTGTAAATTTTTTTTTCAGGAGACAATAAGTGAATTTGGTACATACCAATAAAAGAAAAGCGGTTTCAACCAGCGAGCACTTGTACACCGGCTGGCATCGAAACACGGCGATGCCCAGTGGCAGCAAGATGGCCGCGCGCGCGCAGTCAACTATCGCCTGGTGGAAGAGCAGCCCGTGGGACCATCTGTAGGGAGAAAAATATATTTTAATTTATACACTCGCGAGCAAAAATATGGAATCACCCTATTTATTCCGAGCGATTATAAGAATTAAATGACTAAAGGTTCGGACAAACCAACGCGATCACAGCGCGATCAACCGGCGTGCAGCGATGGCGATCAATGCATTTAGGTCTGGTCGCCATCGCTGCACGCCGGCTGATCGCGCTGTGATCGCGTTGGTTTGTCCGAACCCTAATAGAAGATCAATAAAAATGGTACCATTTTAAAGGTGATATTAAAAACTTTAAATTGATACCAAAGATACATACGATACATAGTCATTCAGTTCTTAAGACCGCTTGGAACACAAAGGGGTGATTCCATACTTTTGCTCGTAAGTATAGTTACAACCTCATCGAGTTAACTGCGTATAGATCGTTTCATCCACGAAGACGCACCCCACCATTCTTCCGCTAATGTTTGAGTGTTATCGGTACACGCTAAATCATCATAATGCAGTGTGCACACGCACAGTGCACACTGCAATAATGACGCTCGGATTGCTCGGATCAAACTCCTCGCACCCCGCGCTTCCCTTAACAAAAATTGGTGGGGCGCGTCTTCGTGGATGAAGCGATCTTTACCTGTATTTTTCCTTTCTTGCAGCATGCTGATTCTAACACCAGGCATTTAGCTACAATCACCATCATCAATCATTATTTCAGCTAAAGGACGTCCACGTTTGATCATAGGCCTAATGATTTCCAGGTTGGCCGATGGTAGGGCGCGACTGCATCCCGCGCCTCTGTTTTGGGATCGTCTACTCGCGCTGCGTTTACCACATTAGTTACAACATAATTGGTAATAAGATCCAGGAAGGAAGATAAATAAAGATCTGACTAGTACAATTTTATTATGGTACACCGCACAAAACTAAGAGTAGGCGCACACCGTTGATTTTTAGTTGGCCGATAGTTGTGCCCGATTTTAAATTGTATGAAGAATCTTCCAAATCGAATCAGCGTAGTGTGCGCACTCCCATACATGCCCATACTGATCAACTGCCCGACTAAACTATTAGCCGACGAAAAATCAACGGTGTGCGCCTACTCCAAAAGTCCATGAGTTGAATAATCCTTGTAAATTAATCAGAAATTATCATTCTCATTACCATCTACTGAATTATCTAAAATTTCTATTGAAAATCGTAAATAATACCAGAATTCCCATAATACCAGGGTGGGAATTTAGCATCTGTATACTCAGAGGTCACATTACCATAGCCGGCATGGACAAAGTCGGCTATGAGCCATGAATAATTACGACTAATTTACTGGCTTTACTGTATTCTTGCTCATTTGATTTTGATACTTATTTACATAATACTACTTTAGTACAGTCCATGAAGACGCGAACATAAATAGGTATTGTTTGTTATAAGAAAACGACAATCCAAACAAAAATTTAAGCTACTCGTACACGCTGAAATCGAACGATTTTGGTCTGATCATGTTACCCCGAAATAGTGGAGGTTTTTATGAAACGTCTCAGATGCCCTAATGTCAAGAATTAAAATCATTTAGGCTGGGTTGCACCATCTTACTTTGACCGTAACTCTAACGATAACCGGTTTTTTTTTTGTATGGAGTTTGACAGATTTTTGACGTTTGTTAAAGTCAAAGAAAGATGGTGCAACCCAGCCTTAATGTCATGTACTTATATGCATGCATGATAAGATCACATCAAATTAATAAAATTACTACTACATAATAACCACACACACACACACACACACCACACATACACACACACACCACACATACACACACACACCACACACACACACACACACACACACACACACACACACACACACACACACACACACACACACACACACATACACACACACACACACACACACACACACACACACACTTTTCAGTTCCTACTCGTAAAATAAGTCAATAGATATGCATGGTATTTCCTAGCTGTATAATTTCATAATGTACTCGTAAATTACTGTAAATGGAGAGCGGGGTTTTCTAACACAAGTATCTACTTATACTTAAAAGAAAACCCCAATCGAAACCGTGTTTTTTCAAACCTGATTCTGAATAAACAATTTTGTATTTTTGTATTTGTATTTTGTATCACACAGAGTACGCAGAGTAGAGTTCTGCCAATTTTAAGGTTTGTAAGCATTTTTATTTAATTTGCAAGCCTTTTTAATTTATGCTTCACAATGTTTAAATCCTCACACAATTGCTATAAAGCCCAGCAGACATAAACACAGCAGTTTTACATTTTTACTGCCAACTGTACGCGGAAAGACAGACGCCGGTAATGCTGGAATAACTGGCGCAGCATCGGTCATTTGACTTACAAATTTCCGAAACGACCCACCTACAGAATGTAGTAAAAATACACAGAAGACGAATATTGTTAATCAAAACATGAGGAAGTGGCGCATATTTTGTGGTAGTTTGTAAGTGGAATATTTTATTTCCAGTAAAATGTTTAAGAGAACTGTTTTTCCTAATATTACGTCACATTGATAAATGGTATGGTATTTACCCATCCGTAATATGAAAGAACAATCAAGTAAGACTAATAAATTTTGAAGAATATGTTAGAGCTTGCTAGGCCCTGGTATTTAAAAATATCCCTCTCTATACATCTTTTATTGAAGGCCAGAAACCCAACATCTTGGCTAACCTGTATATAACTTATAAAACATTGTTCCCAGTTTCAAAGATTTCCCGAAATTCCTCCTCCTCCTCTATTAATCTTAATATCATAAATTTGGCGAGACATGTTGAACTGTATCATCAATTTTGTGTTCCATCCTATGTACCGCGTTTCATGTAATAAACAATTTGAATTTGAATTTCGATCAATTGACAAAATCTTCAAACTCCGCAGTTATCAGTCGTACTCTCTAAATAAAGCCTATAAAAATAAAATGCGCCACTAATATCTCCTTGAAAGTCTTATATCACGTAAAATATCGTTGAAATTGAAAAATGTTCTCGGGAATTATAACTCACTCTGTCAGAGGGTAAGAAGAAAAAAATATATTTGATATTGGCAAGCAATTTATCAACCGCCCACTGACAAGCCGCAGCCCTAGCAGCGTGAGTGACGACCTTAAGTGGCTGGCAAAGAAAAAGTTACAAAATCCACGCTTCTGAAAGATGACGTGATTTTTTCAACTGCTTTTTTTCTAACTTCTACACGAATATTATAAAGATGAAAGATTTGATTGTTAGTTTGAAATGAATAGGCTCCGAAATTACTGGACCGATTTGAAAAATTCGAATCCTAGTGCATTATTCCTGATGAACATTGGTACGAAGTTCGCCGAATTCGCTTCCTATGTTACATAAATTGAATTAAGGTTTTAGGTCCTTATTTAGCAGAATTTCATCCCTTACAGTGACAATTTGGATTCAACAGTGTTAGTTCACAAGTAATCCCGAGATTCTTTTCGGTTCCTATTTATTGTTAAAAGTTTCAAAGTTCAACCACGCACACTAAAAAATAATAGTAGGTACCTAAACCTAAACGTAACTGAAATTCTTAATAGCTCACTTACGGATATTATTCAAATTTACCCTCTAATAAACCCTCCAATGGAGTAGTTAAACTTGTTTCAATAATATTCCCTACATCCCTCCCCGGCCAATAAGGCCAATAATTAGTTTGTCTACCACTTACCCGCTATTTCGTACTTGATTATGTATTTAAGGGTTTATTAGTTAACTGCTACAGATTCCGGATTTGGTCTCAAGAGGGAATGGTTCCATTTAGGTAAAATCATCGTGGTATCGAAGTTACATAAAATTTAAAATTATATAGGTAAATTTCTAATTGAAGGGTCTTTCTTTTGGAAGAACAACCAATGTCAGCTTTGGTAAATTTTATGGTAGAGACAAAAAACTTTTTCGGCAACATAATAAATAAATAAATAATAAATATCCTTAGACATTTTACACTGCGCTTCTAGTCCCAAACTAAGCAAAGCTTGTACTATGGGTACTAGACAACGGATATAAACATACTTAAATACTTTTTTACATACTTTACTACTTAAATACATAGCTGTGGATGGCAAGATTTATGTATAGTTTAACTAATATTATCTCTTGACTAAGACGCTTCTACAAAAAACTATTATTAACAGTTGAAAAATCTTAAGCAAACATTCTAATTATTAACAATTTCAAAATAAAGTTTGGGACATGTTGTCCTAAAATCAGTATTCAATCTGTATAAAAACGTTTTCTCTCCCTGGGGCAGTCTTGATTGGAAAAGGCTAATTAAAAAGTTATTTGCAGACCAAATTAATTGTTAGATTGGTCCAGATAACGTTCATCGAATAAATCCTGAATGCTAGTCAGTTTTATTAATTAGTTTGCGCTCGCGTTCCCTAGTGAGAACCATCGCGTTCTATTCGATTATGTGTTAGGGCTCGTTTCCATGGACCGCAAAAAAACCGAAATATGATCCGAAACCATATCCGAAACATACATGCGTAAGGCTTGTTCCCGCGGCAGTCTAGTTTTGTCGTGTGAACATACCTAGTCGTGTTTGAAATTTGAATTACAAATTGAATGAATTGGTTTTTGCGGGACTGCAAACGGGTTGTTCGTGTAAACTGTGAACGTTTGCTGAAAAAAATTGTTCCTGCAATAAACGGGATGTCTCCATGGGAACAAGCCCTAACTTTTTAGGTACAGTCGTGAGCACTACAGTCACATTTTTGTAGCAAAATAGCACCTATCACAACTGCACAAAATAACGGGCGTATGGAATAAAATAATGTTATCCTTTTTGGGATCAAAACAATGTTCTTTTCCCATTCTAATTCTTAATTAATTTTCCAGATATTCACGTTCGCTTGATTTCCTTTGGGATATTCCGCGTTTTGTTATGATTTGTGCTCGTTATCTTGATAAGATTTCTTTGTTAAATAAGTGAGTGTTAAAGAGAATATGAATTGTGGGACATGTTCCAAAAT